GCCTCCTCCGGGCCTCACGTAGGGGGCAGATCTTGGAGCATCCTTCCCTCGGGGATGCAGAGGAAGTGGGGCCCCCTTCTGGGTGGTACTGGACCCCCAGCCTCCGCCGTGCGGTTCTAGTAGTGCATTTCTTCAGCTGAGCCCGGGGGGTCAGGCGGCACCCGGACACGGGCTTCCCCCTCAGCGGTCCTGGCCTCCCACCGCCACCCAACCTGCTCTCTCTGTGTGTCCCATGTGCACTCAGCCTTCTGTGTCTGGCCCGTGGAGGTGAGGGCTTGGGGAGGGCGTACAAAAGATGCAGGCGGCCCCAGCCCCCAGCCTGGTGCCCTCCCTGCTCCTGGGAGCCTCTTCCTCGGTCTTTGTCATAACCACATGACCACAGGGACAGGCCACCGGTTACCAAGCCCCTAGGACACACACAAAGGACCTCCTCTCCTAGTTTTGTTTGAGGGTGGTGGACTCCGGCAGGGGCGAGGGGGCAGGAGGTCCTGTCCTGCTGTGTGTTGTGGTCCTCTGCCTCCCAGCTGTGCTCCATCTCATTGGGCCCCTCCCCCACGTGGCTACTGTTGCAGGAAGTGGCTGCCTGGGCAGCGTCCCGAGCTGGGCGGAGTGAGGTGGTGGTGGCTGGCAGGGGCTTCAACCAGGAATGTGTGTCCAGGAATGTGAAGCTCGGCCTGCCAGGGGCAGTGCTTGGGCTGGGCGGCCAGGACAAGGGGGCTAGGGGGACTTGGGGGGAGGATGGGGCTGGGGGGACTGGGAGCAGGACTGGCAGGGGAGCGGGCTGGGCCAGCAGTGGCCGCCCCCCCCCCCCCGAAGCCTGATGTCCCTACCCTGTGGCTGCCACCTCGATGCCTCAGGGCCCCGCCAGGGGAGGGAGCCCACGGGCGATGAGGTCACCTTGTCTGTGGCTGCCCAGAGCCCTGGCCAAGGAATCTGGCGGCGGGGGAGGCGCGGGGCTGGCACCACTTCAGTGGAAAATGTGAAGGTGCAGCCCCGGCGCCTCTGAGGCCGGGTGGGGGCAGTGCTGGCCGCCACGTCAGACCGGGGCAGCAGGAGGGCACACGTGGGGTCGGGGTCGGGCTGACACAGGTTGCCCTCCCCACCCCAGGACATCCGGAACACAGTAGGCAATGTGCCCCTGGAGTGGTATGCTGACTTTCCCCACGTGGGCTATGACCTGGACGGCCGGCGCATCTACAAGCCCCTGCGGACCCGCGATGAGCTGGACCAGTTTTTGGATAAGATGGACGACCCCGACTACTGGTGGGGCTAGGCCTGGAGGCTGGTGGGGCAGGTGGTAGGGGCCTGGGGGATAGGGCCATCTGACCAGGCAGGTGGACTGCCCCCAGGCGCACTGTGCAGGACCGAGCAACAGGGTGGGACGTTCGGCTGACAGACGAGCAGGTGGCCCTGGTGCAGCGGCTACAGAGGGGCCAGTTTGGGGACGTGGGCTTCGACCCGTATGAGGTACGTGCCTAAGCAGCAGTGCTGGGGCCAGGGACGCCTGGCAGCCCACCCACCCCTGCTTTTCTCACCCCCAAGCTGGCTGTGGACTTCTTCAGTGGAGACATCATGATCCACCCAGTGACCAACCGCCCTGCTGACAAACGCAGCTTCATCCCCTCCCTTGTGGAGAAGGAGAAGGTGCGTGTGGCCTCACAGGGCAGCCCCCCACAGTGCTGACGCCAACCCTAGGGTGTGGCTTCCCGACCCTAAGGTGGGGCCCTGCCACTGTCTGCCCAGGTCTCTCGGATGGTGCATGCCATCAAGATGGGCTGGATCCAGCCTCGCCGGCCCCGGGACCAAACCCCCAGCTACTATGATCTGTGGGCTCAGGAGGACCCCAACGCTGTCCTGGGGCGACACAAGATGCATGTCCCTGCCCCCAAGCTGGCCCTGCCCGGCCATGCTGAGTCGTACAACCCCCCGCCGGAGTACCTGCCCAGCGAGGAGGAGGTGGGCCTGGCGCAGGGTGGGCTGCCCAGTGACGAGGTGGGCCTGGCGCGGGATGGCCTCGGGGCTGGGTGGCCACATCGGGCTCCCCTCTGTGTCCACAGCGCCTGGCCTGGGAGCAGCAGGAGCCCAGCGAGAGGAAGCTCAACTTCCTGCCACAGAAGTTCGCGAGCCTTCGAGCCGTGCCTGCCTACGGCCGCTTCATCCAGGAACGCTTTGAACGCTGCCTGGATCTCTACCTGTGTCCCCGGCAGCGCAGGATGCGGGTTCGCAGTGGGGGCGGGCCCTGGGCGGGCACAGGGCAGGGAGAGCCGTGTGGGGCTGTGTGGTGACCACGTGCTCCCCTGCCCCAGGTGAACGTGGACCCCGAAGACCTCATTCCCAAACTGCCTCGGCCACGGGACCTGCAGCCCTTCCCCACGTGCCAGGCCCTGGTCAGCACCCAGGCTGTGGTGGGGACTACGTGGGGGGTCGGCAGGGCCTTGCTCGTGAGGGGGGCGGGTGGGCGGCTCAGCAGGCCTCATCACTGCCCCCCTCCTCCGTAGGTCTACAAGGGCCATAGTGACCTGGTACGCAGCTTCAGTGTCTCCCCGGGGGGCCAGTGGCTGGCTTCAGGTAGGCCTCGGGTGGGAGGCAGCCTCAGAGAGGTGAGGGGAGGTGGGGTCTGCTGAGGGTCTTCTCGTCTGTGTCCAGGCTCAGACGATGGCTCTGTGCGGCTCTGGGAGGTGGCCACCGCCCGCTGCATGAGGACTGTGCCCGTGGGGGCTGTGGTGAGGAGTGTCGCTTGGAACCCCAACTCTGCCGTCTGCCTGGTGGCTGTGGCCGTGTGCGTGGGGGCTTGGGGGCTGGGGCATCGGGGCAGGTGGGGTACATCGGTGGGCTGAGGTTATGTGGCCCACAGGGACGATGCTGTGCTACTGCTGAACCCCGCCCTGGGGGACCGTCTGGCGGCAGGCAGCACAGACCAGCTGCTCAGTGCCTTCAGCCCGCCCGAGGAGCCGGCCCTGCAGCCGGCCCAGTGGCTGGATGCCTCGGAGGAGCAGCGCCAACATGGCCTGCGACTCCGTATCTCCCATGGCAAGGTGTGAGGGGGGCGCTTTCCTGGGGACAGGGAGGGGCTGTGGGAGTGGGGTGGCCAAGCTCAGTGGGCCTCTCTCCCATCCCTGCAGCCAGTGATGCAGGTGACCTGGCACGGCCGTGGGGACTACCTGGCCGTGGTGCTGGCGGCGCCGGGGCACACGCAGGTGCTCATCCACCAGCTGAGCCGGCGCCGCAGCCAGAGCCCCTTCCGCCGCAGCCACGGGCAGGTGCAGCGCGTGCTCTTCCACCCCTCCCGGCCCTTCCTGCTCGTGGCCTCCCAGCGCAGCGTCCGTCTGTACCACCTGCTGCGCCAGGAGCTCACCAAGAAGCTGATGCCCAACTGCAAGTGGGTGTCCAGCCTGGCTGTGCACCCGGCAGGTGAGGTCACCAGGTGAGAGCTGGGGACTGAGGCCGTGAGCTCTGGAACCCATGCTCTGCTCCTACCCTGCCTCTAGGTGACAACGTCATCTGCGGCAGCTACGACAGCAAGTTGGTGTGGTTCGACCTGGACCTCTCCACGCGGCCGTATAAAGTGCTGAGGTAGGGGTCAGGGTGTGGGGCTGGGGCTGCCTCCCTCCTTGTCCTGAGCCCATCAGCCACCTTGTCACCCCCACCCCCAGGCACCACAAGAAAGCCCTTCGGGCTGTGGCCTTCCACCCCCGGTACCCTCTCTTTGCATCCGGTTCAGACGACGGCAGTGTCATCGTCTGTCACGGCATGGTATACAAGTGAGTGCTCCTACCCCAGGGTGGGCCCCGCCTGTCCTGTCCAGCTGGCCCCTAAGCCCCTCTCCTCTCCACAGCGACCTGCTGCAGAACCCACTGCTGGTGCCCGTGAAGGTGCTGAAGGGCCACGGGCTGGCCCGAGGCCTGGGGGTGCTTGACGTGGCCTTCCACCCCACCCAACCCTGGCTCTTCTCCTCTGGCGCCGATGGCACCATCCGCCTCTTCACCTAGCACCCAGGACCCGCCACCCCAGACAAGGCCCTGGGAGTACCCTGGATCTTCAATACAGTTTTGTCACCACTGCGTGTGTGCTGAGCCTTCACTCAGTCCTTGAGCCTGCCCATGTGGGGCCATCAGGGCCCTGCCCTCCACCCCACCCCACCCACCCACCGAGAAGGAAAGGCCAAGCCTGCCCTCCCACAGCACTGCTGGGGCCATGTGGCTTTATTGAAGAAGGTGGCTTTCGGCGACTACTGTCCTGACCCCGTCAGTCTCCAGCTCCTTCCCTGCCAGAGGGGTGGTCCCTGGTAATACCAGCCTCTCCCCACCCCAGGCAAGGGCTTCAAGGCCTCAAGCTGGTCCAGGCCTGGGTCTGGTCCCGAGGGGGGATGGATGGCTGGGGCGGGCAGGCCAGCCAGGCTCAGACAAACTTCACCAGGCGGCCCAGTGTCTCTGCTGCCTTCATGCGCACCACGGGGGCTGGGTCCTTCAGCAGGAGCTGGAGAGCTGAGTGGAGACAGAGGGCACTAGTCAGGCTGGAGCCTTGGGGCCCCACGCGCCTCCACCTGTCCTGACTGCCCTGAGCCCCCATGGGCAGGGTCCCACCCCAGGATGGGGCACACTGGCTCCTGCATGTGGGGCCACTGCCACCCTCCAAACAGGCCTCTCAGCCGGGAGGCGCGGGAGCCAACGGAAAGATAGCTTTTCCTTTTTTAGTGTTTTTTAAGCTCTTTGGAACGGCTTGCAAGTTTCCGTGAGTTACTAGAGACGATGAGGTCACCAGTGGCAGGGAGAGCCCTCAGGTCCAGGAAAATCACTCAGCCCCCTCCCCCTGGGGCCCACGGGGTCAGGGGCCCAGCGGGCCACAGGCTGGGCTGCTGGGGGAGGGGCAGCCCCAGCGGACACGTGCTGGTGGCGGGAGGGGCCAGCCAGCCAGGCGCTTACCAGCCACCAGCTGTTCCAGGTCCACCTGGTGCCGGAGCTCGCGGTCTGCGTGCAGCACCAGAAAGCCTGCGGGGAAGGGGCGGTCAGAGCCAGGGCGCTCACAGGCGAGCATGGGGCGGGACGGTGGGCTGCTCACCGGTGAACATGGGGGCCGCGGCCCGCACGTCCTCCCAGCAGCTCTTGAAGTAGAAGAGGCTGGTGCTCACCAGGCGGCCCAGCAGGTCCGGGAAGTGCCGCATCTGCAGAAGTCACAGAGGTCGTCAGGGCGGCACGGCCCGCCCAGCCACCCCGCCCCGCCCCGCTGCCTCACCAGGTGCTTGCAGGTGGCGTTGAGGAACTCGCCGAAGTGCAGGCCGCGGCCCTCCTGCAGGTGCTTCTGGAAGGCGGCCGTCAGCTCCTTGCAAGCCAGGTTGGGGCCACACATGCGCAGAGTGAACCTGCAGGCCTGCGAGGCACTGCGCTGAGTCCCGGCCTTGCTGCCCGGCCCGCCCTCCCACCTGGTGGGCCAGCCGGGTGACTCACACCAACCACAGCGGCCTGGGGGTCGCGCAGGTGCAACAGCAAGGGCGCCAGCGCACTGACAGTCTGCTGCAGGAACATGTCCTCGCAGTCCCCGTGGCAGGCCTTGTTCAGGTGGCCAAAAAGGCAGACGGACGCCTGCCGGAACTCTGCCTTCTCCTGGGGTTGGGACAGCGTCACTCGGTGCTGCCTCCCGCCCCAGAATGGCGGGGGCCGGCCGGGGTTGGGATTCGGATGGTCTGGGGTCAGCCCGGTGGGCTAGAGCCAGGAGGGGATGGTGGAGGCTGCCCCTGGGAACAGGACCTGGCCTGGCCGGACTGGGGTGGACTGGGGTGTCCCCTTGCCCTGCCCCCACCTACGCTGTCAAAGAAGGGCCTGATGCGGATGGCCACATGCAGCAGCACTGAGCGGAGGTCCCGCGGTTCCACCAGGTCTAAGAGCCTTGCCAGGCCCAGCATGGCCTCCAGGGCCACCAGGCTGTGCAGGTCATCCACGTCGTCCAGTCCAGCGATCAGGGTTGTCAGGAGTTGGGGGCCATGGGCCTGCACCTGAAAGCCGTGGCTGTGCTGAGGATCCTGGGTCCTGACCTTGAAACCCGGCCCCTGCCCAGCCTCGTGGGTGCCCCTGGCAGAGCAGCAAGATCCCACCTTGTCTGGGGAGCCAGAAGCCAGGTTGGCCAGCCCACGGAGCACCAGGCGCCGCACGCTGGCACACGTGTCCTTCTGCCGGGCGGTCAGGTTGTCCAGCAGTGACTCCAACAGCATCAGGTCGTTGACCACGTTGCTGCTGAGCAGCTGCAGGCAGAGGCCGTGACCCCTGTGACTCCCTACCCAGCCCAGCTCGAATGCCCGGCAGCTACGTCCCACGGATACAGGAGCAGGCGTGGGGCCGAGCCCATGGGAGGCGTGGTGAGCAGGCCAGCAAGGACCTGTTGCTGACCCACACTCCTGGATGCCCCACTCGTACTGTGGACCGTGTGCTGGGGCCCTCCCAGCCTCCCCCAAACCCCTTGCCGACCACTTCAGTGGGCCCGTGAGTCTTGGTGTGTAGAGTTCTGGGCCCGTCTGCTGCCCTGCAGGGCTGGGGCAGGGGAGGTCAAAGCCTGTCCCTCTGCCCCTCGTGGTGGGGACAGGGGCATCCTGCGCCTTCTCCTAGCAGGCCCCTCAGGCCTCACCTCTGCCAAGAAGGCCGTGGAAGTGACTCTTTGGATCTCGTAAACGCTGCTGTGTGTGGAGACAAGGGCCTTCATCACCAGCGGCAGCCGGGGGCCCGCATGCTTCGCCATGGCCCTGGAGGCGGCAAGGGGTCAGGGCCAGGCAGCTGTCCACCACCCCCAGCGCCTGCATGCTGAGAGGTGTGGCAGCCCCACTGCCCTATCCCTGAGCCCTGCCCCCAGGTTGCCAGGCCTGTGTCCTCTCACTCAGTCACACCCTGACACACATACACTTGCTGAGGGGTCCACCGCCACCCAGGACAGTTCACACAGAACCACGTCTGACCTGCTATTGTGCTGGGGCGAGGCCCCACGCTGGCCTGGTCCTCACAGCACCCACCAGTCCCTGAGTGGCTGGCTCAGGATCCCCCCACGTCAGTACTGGGCCTTTCCAGGGGGCCATTTCCGGGGCACATGGCAAGGAGGCCTGCTCACCTGGCCAGCCGAGTGACACCCTCCTCGTGCCCCTCAGAGGTCCTCAGCAGCTCCCAGCCACCTTCCAGCTCCAGGTGCCGCACCACGTCCTCGCTGCCTCCCCTCAGCAGCATGGCCTGCAGGGTGTCCACCGCGGAGCTGTGGAGACACATCACTCAGCCCCACCCACCATGCCCACATGACCCCTAGTGTCCCACGCCCAGGCTGCAGCAGCCTCCACTGAGGACTGGGCCTCCCTCTCCCCCATGGCGGGCCCTTTGGGAGCTGAGCTGCTGGCATGGGGGTGAAGGACTTGTGGGGTCACCCGTGGCAGTTCAGCTACCAGGCTGAACAGACCCACCCGGCCCCACCAGCACCTGGTGCCTTGGCCATGGCTTCTGGCCCAGGTCCCAGCCTGCACTGACCCTACCTGGCTGGCAGAGCCGGGGTCTCTGCCCATTGGCAGGGGCACTGCCCTGGGCAGCAGCCCTAGTTGTGATACAGGGACAGCTGTGCTTTGGGAATGGTGACCAGCAGCTATGACTCAAGATTAAAGGGGGGATGGAGCATGGCCCTCACCAGGGGCCGGCACCCCCAAGTTCACACAGCTGGGTTCCCTCAGGAACTCAGAGCAGAGCCGTATGGGGCGTGAGAGAGAGGGCTGTGAGGCTATGCCTGGAAGAGGCTGCTGTGCAGTCCACAGGCAGGGGTGTGGTGCACATGGTCACCACTCTGTTGGGGGTGGCGCCCATCTGGGTACCCAGCAGTGTCCCTGGCTGAAGCAGACATCAGCTCCATCTCTGATTCCAATGGCTTTGTGCCCCAGTTTAGCCGCACCCAGCCCACCTGCCTGCCACTGCCGATACCCCCAGGGCCTGTTCCACAGCCCGACCCCATCCTTGGGCCAGCTTCTGCCCTGGAGACCTCAGCCTCTCCGGCCACCCTAGTAGACACCGTTGGGGCTGGCCGGCTGGGGTCCAGGTAGGAGAAGGGCTGCAGGGCCCTCCCCAGGTGACTCTGGTTGTCCTGAGGACTCCCCAGAGCCCCTCCTGCTTCCTGCCCTGCCACTGAGCCAGGACAGCCTCCTCATCGTCTCCCCCTGCAGGAGCCGTACAGGAAACAAGTCTGATACTGCAGCCTCTCCAGGGCCTGTCTGGAATTCGGCTGCCCCCACTCAGCTCACAGTGAGAACCCTTCCAGGCACAGTGGCCGGCCTGTGGGCGGGGCCAGGAGAGCCCACAGCCTGGTGGGGGCCCCCCGCTGGGAACAGCACGTGCTATGCACAAGGGCCCAGGCAATGGAGCAGTAGGATTGGATGGCTGCCACCCTGGGCATGAGGGCATGCCAGCGCCCCTGGGTGGGAAGGGGACGGTCTGGGGAGAGGGCAGGGCAGGCATGGGATGACAAGCCTAGTCTGGGACCCATGACTTCTGGGCTGCAGAATGGACACGGCAGGACCCTGTCATGGACAGAAGTACAGCTGCAGGTGCCCCAGCCAGGACAGTCCTTGTGGACTGTGGGGACATCTGAGGGCAACTGGTGCGGGCCACTGCCACAGCCCAGGCTGAGAGTCCGCAGATCCCACCTTCCCGGGACTCCCCTTCCCCAGAGAGCGAGCCCAGGCGTGCCAGATCTGCAGTGGCTGCGTGAACCAACAGCAGACAGAACCCGCCCATGCCGCGTTCACATGGGTTGTAGGAGAGGTGGCCGTCTAGGCGAGGGACGCCCCTTACCTGGGGCACTGGCAGGCTCCCTGTCCTGCACCACCCACTGCCACAGCCAGACCACGGTCTGAGCTCAGAGAGTAGATGGCTCAGCTGCAGGCCTCCTCTGCCAGCCCAGCCCTGCCAGAGCGCCACAGGCTCTGTGCTTACTGTAGGGCCCGCCTCCTGGTGAATGACCTTCAGCTGAAAACCAGGCTCCGAAAAACGTCCCTAGCAGACGGGGCCAGAGGCTTGTCCTCCAGGCTAGAGAACAGCAGTGACAGTGCCTGGAGGGAGCGGGAGCGTGGCGTGCCCCACGTTCACGGCAGACGGAGCCAGGCCATGTCAGCCAGTCCCTGCTCACGCTTCCACTCTGCTTGCGGCAAGCAGGGCGAGAAAGCTCCCAGGCTGGTCCGGCAGTGGGGCTGCCCCATCCCCACACATACCTGTGCATGCCCAGGCCAGACCCCAGGGCAGGCAGGGCCAGCAGATGAAGAACACATGCAGAGAGGCCATGGAGGCCAAAAGTGAGGGGCAGGGTACAGGCGCCCTCAGGTAGCAGCACTGTGCACCCCACCCACCCCAGCTCCTGCCTAGAACCCAGCACCTACTCTGCAGAGACCATGAGGGCCAAAGGGCAGGTGCCCGCACAAGCAGGGTAGCTGATCAAGCCGAGTCAGTTAGCCTGCCTGTAAAGCCTGAGCCACCTGTACTCCCAACAGGGCTGGGCGCTGGGAGGCTAGAGAACAGGAGAGCTAGGGAAGTGTTGAGGCTGGAGGGCCAGGGTCAAGGGCTGGACTTGTCCTGAGCTTCTGACTGAAGCAGGGCTCTCAGTGTAGAAAGAGCAAGAACTGAGCTGAGCAGCTGAGGTTCTGGCCTTGGGGCCCTGTGCAGGTGGCTCGCTTCCCGGCCGTGTCCTCTGCTGCAGACGACCAGAGCTCCCGCAGGACAGGAGGCCCCACGAGGCCGTGCCCATAGCATCTCAATGCACCCAACTACCCCACCACGCTGACTTCCCACGGAAAGCACACCCACGTGCTGTGCTGACAGCGAGCCCAGGCCCGTGTACCTGCAGGGCTCCAGGCTCCTGGCGGCCAGGGGTGCACTGGAGCTCCTCTTCTCCCTGCCCTGCAGGGTCCGGGGCAGCTGGACGCCCACTGTGCAGCTGACGCGCAGCAGGAGGGCCACAAACAGCTCGGGGTAGAGCTCCAGCACCGCAGGCCCAGAGGCTGGTGCGGACAGAACCTCATACAGGGCACACGTGGCCTAGAGGGGACCCGTCAGAGGCGCCGTCCCAGCCTTCAGCGGCAATGGCTGGGCCTGACACCCTGGGGTCCCACCCAGCCTGCAGCCCCCATGCATCTTGAAGCTGCAACTGTGAGGGGAGTGGGAGCAACTGCCCAGGCTAGGGGGTGGGGGCAGGGCTGCCTCCACGGGCCGGGCAGCAGACCATCTGTTCTGGGCTCCTTGGGGCACTGGGAGGAGGAAATTTTCACAGCTGCTTTACTGCTTAAAAGTGGCCAAGCTGGGTTTATTTTTTTTTCACAGGATAAAACGCAAAATGATCTCCCTTGGGGACAGACACCTGAGAGGCCTTTTATGAGCCTGGCTGTGGAGCTCGAGGGCCCAACGGGCCAGTGTTCCCAGGGGCAGCAGCCAGGTGCTGGTGGGCGGGCCCAGGCTGTTTTAGTGAGGGGCCCACTGACTCTGCCAGGCTACCTCTCACTGCAGCATCCTGGCCCACGATGACCCCGAGTAGGGTGGGCGGAGGGGGAGGAGGGGTGGAGCATGCGGGGCCTCTGGTGCACTCACCGCAAGGGGCAGTGTGGTGGCCACACGGTCCGGGGTGCTGCTCAGCAGGAAGGCCCGACTCTCCTTGAAGGGGACGTCCCTGCCCATCTTCTCCAGAAGCAGTTCCAGCACTGTGGCGGCAAGGCTGGGCTCCACGGCCAGGGCCCGCCACAGGGTACAGGTGTGGCTGTGGCACATGGGGACAGTCACCGAGAGGCACTGGCCCCTGGGCTCTGCAGTTCCCCAGGCCCCACACCACGTGGATACACCTGCCAGACAAGGACTGGCCCTTCATCTGACCCCAGAGTCTGCACACAGGCTGACCTGGAGCTGAGCAGTGCAGGAGGAAAAGGACAGGAGAAAGGTCAGGCCCGGATATGGAGGCCTGAGGGGGGCTGGTCGAAGGGTCCCAGGTGAAGTCCCTAGGGGCCCTCGTCTGTAGCAGCAGGCCCACCCCATGCTTGGGAGCCCCTGCAAATAATTTTCCAAGAGCAAAGAGCACACATGGCTAAGGACACAAGACAGGTCACGCATATGGCACTGAGCACTGATGGGCCCAGCAGTCTGCAGATGCTGGTGACCAGACACCAGAGCAGCTCTGCTGTGGAAACATAAAGGGACAGGTGGCAGTGCTCAGACTGCCCAGCTGGGCTGGGACGTCCCGAAATCAGATGCCACAGACTTGAAAGAGAACCACCTCACAGTTCTATTTGAAATGAGCAGCCAAGTGCACTCAATGGATACGGCTGGCAGCAGCCTGCTAAGGCAGGAAAGACAGTGATGGGCAGAACCCAGCACTGAGAAGGAACAAGGGAAAGAGGCAGGGACAGACAGGGCTGTGGGTCACAGGACAAGGTCTAACACATCTGACTGGAGGCCCAGAGGCAGTGGGCAGAGAACACAGTTGTGGTCACACCTGGAAGGAAAAGGTGAGACCCTTCTGGACCCAGTGGGAGATACCAACACCCATCTCCAGCAGTCAGTGGCACCCTGGCCAATTAAAGAACACGAAGTCCACGTGGGAGCCCCCCAACTGCAGGCACCGGCAACCAGCCATCAGGAAAGCAGATGCTTCCTGGGTAACAGGCCTGGAGCTGCTTTCCCAAGAGGACAGTGCAGCAAGACAAGAATAAATGTCATCTAGACAGACCAGGAGAACAGCTGCCAAAGTGGAACCCTAGAGCTCAGAACTAGCATCCAGGAGACGGCACAGTGAACCCTTCTCAGGTCAGCCAAACGAGGAGGCTGCCCCCGACACAGCCTCCGCAGGCAGAGGGAAAGCGATGGGGACCTGGGAGCAAGGAGGCATATAGGGACACAGGAACACACCTGTGGGACAGGGAAACACCACATGCTGGTGAGGATGGAGCCCCCAGCATTCACGGTGGCGCTGCCAGAGGTGCCTGGCTTCCACCAGCAAGGGTGAGTGCCCGTGTCTGCTGGAGCCACCGGGACTGTAGCCTGGGCGGGGCGGCAGACGCCTTCTGAAAGGTCCCAGTAACAAATCCTTCAGGCTTGTGCGTCTCCCTCCTCTGTCACAAATACTCAACTTTGCCACTCAAGTATGGAAGGTGCAACAGGTAAAGGACGGGCAGGGTTGCGTTCCCCAAACATTCATTTACGAATGCAGAAACCTGAAGTCCATGTGATTTGCAAGTGTCACAAAGTGTTTTTTTCTTAACCATTTATAAACATAAAAACCATCCTTAGCTTATAGGCTGTGGTATTTAAGATTGAGTGTCAATGTGGCTGGCCTGGTTTTGAGTGGCTTGGTGGCTGTGATGCACCTATTCCCCATGATGAGGCTGGATGTGGTGTAATCACCTCCATGGCGGACTCTCCTGTGAGCACTTAGTTGAGGGGGAGTCACCTGATTCAGGGTGTGGCCTGCTTCCAGGAGGTATGCAAAGGATCCCGCATTTGGCCCATTCTCATCTCCAGTTTCAGGTCCTGAACCCACGGCCTGTTGGGTTGCCCGCCAATCTTGGGATTGTTGCCTTGGCACCCACTGGGCTGACAATCTGCCATTTCACCTGCTGATCCTGGATTCATCAGCCCCCGCAGCTGCGAGTCAGGAGAGCCTCCAGCTCGCTCCAGTGGGCCTGGAAGGCAGAGCTGAAGCCCCAGGCGGAGCGGCCTCACCCAGCCCCTGGAGCCTGCACTCTGAACTCGGCCATCTAGCTTGGTCTTCCCCTAGAACTGGCTCTCTGAATTTGGACGTCTAGCCTCCTAAACGGTAAGAGAATAACTTTGTTTGTTAAAGCCCCTGCTGTGTTATGTCTACGTAGCAGCACCAGAGAACTGAGACAGGCCTCACAAGAACAGGCCGTGGACCAGATGTGGCCAAGCCCAGAGCTACAGCAATTCCACTCCTGGATACACATGCCAAGAGAGACAGAGGCTTCTCTCAATCGGCATAACATACTACACAAAAATACCGTTCTACGTCCTACTTTGCTGAGTAGCAACTAGAGTCTTAAAAGCTTGCAAGCAGCCATCTAGATGCAACGATGGGTCTCTCCTTGTCCAGAGCAAAGAATAAAGAAGAAAACCAAAGACGCATGGAAACAATTAGTCCAAGGGACTGGTAGACCATGCAATCCTCAGCCTATATGACCATGAGACCAGAAGAACTAGATGGTGCCCAGCTATCACTGTTAACTACTTGGAGGGGGATTGGTGCAGGAGATCCTGGATAGGGTGGGAAAACAATGTAGAACAAAACTCAAAATAATAAAAAAAAAAAAGGCTTGTTAGTCTGATAGAGCCTGGTGAGACCCTGAGATTGGCCCCTAGCCACCCTTCAGGTCTGGAACTGAACTTACTCCTGTGGCTTCCAGTCAAACAACAGACAGGCACATGGGGTGAACATTTATATCAGATAGATATAATCCTTGGAGCTACCGACTGTGGGAGAACAGAGTGAGGTGCTGGCACAGGGAGACAGCTCGGGGGCGGGAGTGCATGGGAGGGAAGCACACAGGGAAGAGGTAACTCTGGGGAGGAAGCGGGGAGAGAGCTGTTGCACTGTGGGAACTACAGTCAATGTCATGAAACAGTGTGTATGAACTACTGTACGGAAAATGAATTCACCCAATCACAATAAAAATTAAAAAGAAGAAAAGAAAAGAAACAGAGGCTTCTGCCCACCCAGAGAATAGACACAGCTATCTGCCCATCGTCCCTAATGGCTCCAAAGTGGAGACCAGCCCCATGCAGTGGGTGCACAGGCACAGCAACACCCCACGACCACAGAAGGCGTGAGCTGCAGGACAGCCTGTGTGAGTCCATCTACACCAAGCTTAAGGTCTGGAGACAGGGGCCTGGGGCCTCCTGGGGACAGGACGTGCTGTCTCCCTGATCTGGGCAGTGGGGACCCACTGCACTGCACTCCAGAAACACACACTCTGCTCAGTCCACAAGTTACACTTGACAGACGGGACACGGGACTGGAGAGTAGAGCAAGTGGCAGCTACATGGGCAAAGGCCACTGGACATCAAGTGCACAGCAGAGGAGAGAGAAGCTTGTGGGCCACCCAGCAACAGAACGGGGGCCGGGCGCTGCAGGCCGCAGGGCACCAGGCTGCACACCCAGCAGCAGAGCGAGGGCCGGGCGCTGCAGGCCACGGGGCACCAGCCTTCACACACAGGTAACCACGTGTGGCCACTGCTAGAGTGGGGCAGTCATGAACAGAAAGGGAACAGAGGTGTCCATTGTTGTTGTTGTTGTTGAGTGCCGTCGAGTCGTTTCCGACTCATAGCGACCCCATGCACAGCAGAACGAAACACTGCCCGATCCCGCGCCAGCCCCACAATCCATGCTATAC